CATTGTTCATAACAAAATGAAGTATATTATTGTCTAACAATTTTAGCCTAGAGTGATAGTTGTTTTTCTAATAGAGATGTTATTTTTACAAGTGTTATCTTGGCAAATTGTACCAAAATTTCTACCACAAAAAGGTAGATTGAAAGAAAATGAAATTCCTTACTCAGACTGCATGCCTACTTAGTACAGAATGTCATAGATTTCTTCCTTAACTTTACAGATGTTATAGAAGACTTAAGATCTCACAGCAGTGGCTTCTACTAATCTCTGAGTAAAATGTTGAAGTATACAAATAGCAATTTCTTCCTATTAAAACACATATTTTAAGGAAGTTTTATTTCTCAGAAATATACAGTTATTTTGAAAGTAACGTATTACTCAATTTTATACCAGAACAGAAAACAAAACTGTAAAGACATTTCTGAGACATTTTTTCCATTTTTTAAAAAAGTAGCACTGCAGAAGCATCTCTGTATAGAAAAAAAATCCTCTTCAATCATAAAGTTGCATAAATCATTGCGTTTATCTTATAAGAGTTTATTTTACTTTCTGCTTTTGATAGATAGGAGAGCTCTCTCTGTCTTTCTCTCTCTTTTTCAATATATAGGATAGAAGCCAGAGAAAGTAATAGGTGAGTTCTTCATTAAAAATTGTAAATTGTTTGTTGCTGTATTTTAAAGTAGATATTAAGATACAGAAGACAGTAAAGTTCAGTAACCAAAATATTTCTTTCTACACAGCTTTAAAAATAAAATGTGTTCCTGCTATGAAGTAGAAAACATAACCTTCAAGCCAAGTCTTTCAGCCTTTAGATCTGGGGTGTCAAACTGCAGGCCCGTGGGCCAGTTTAATCATACCAAAGCCGCACCCACACCATTGCCGGCAATGTAAAAAGAGTCATGATACGTCGCGACATGTCACGTGACGTGGCGAGTTTGACCCCTGGGCTTTAGATCCTTGAGAGGTACAGTAAGGATAAATCTTGCTTAGAGAAACTGTGGGATACACATGTAACACATTTGCAAAGGTATTACTAAGAAATTTCTAACTGTGTTTTGATTTTTCCCTTCTAGCCTATAGTACAAAAGCCTGTACAATAATTTGCTTCTTAATAAAAAAAATGCACTTGAAAATAGACATGGATGTTATGGTTAAGTGGAACAGAGAAAGTATAATCAGAATTCTACACTGGATTTAGTTATTGGCTTGCCTAGTTATGAAGTCTTTCCTCAGGTTTAGTTAGAACAATGAGATCATCAACATAACGCACACTGAAACATCTGCTTCCACACTGTTCAAAGTGTTATTGTATTTACCAAGAAGAACTATGACCATCCCTTTTTATATACTTAAATATTCCATGTGATGGAAGAATTCAATCCTGACACACTTTTTTCATTTTATTCCAGCATATTGAGATTAGGCCATTAATGCCAATACATTTGTTACAAGGAACAGTAACAAATGTGACCATGAGTGTGTATCTGTGTGTGGGAGGGAAACCATTTCTTTTTGCAAATAGACTTGTGTTCATGCATAGTACACTAACACCTGCTAAGTGTTCTAAGCCTTATTCAAACTCGGAGCCTCTTGTAGAGTCAGCGGCAGTAAGCAGGTTGTAATTTTTCTGAGAAAGAAAACCTGCCAAAAAATGAAGTCCAATTGTAGAGTTATTCTTAATGTGCTCCATCACTGTGCCTCTAGAGACTCATGAACTTTATGCCAACCAAAAAAGATTTTTAAATACCTGTATTAGAGTCTTGCTGTCCTCAGAAAGGATAATGCAGTGGGGTTTTTTTCTTGCTTCTAATTAGTAATTTAAGCATATGTTCAGCATTTAACTCTAAATGTTTGCCTTTTCCCCAAGCTCTAAGACAGCTGTCCAAGATGTGGATGCCTGAAAGCACTTAAATATCAACATCTGCTGAATTATGTTAATAGAATGTAATATAATTGGGCATGAGCTGGAATTGATCAGAAGTATATGACTATGACCAAGGCAAATCTAAACCAATATTTTGTCTTATAAACAAGTCATAGGTAACACACATCTGATGTTAATCACTAATATGATCAGAGCACAACATTCAGAATACCAAGGCTAAAAAAATCTATGAAAATATTGAGAAACAGCATTTAAAACAGAATCAAAGGTAAATATTTTTTGTGGAAATTTCCTACTACTGTGGCATAGGAACTCATTTTTAAATTCTAATTAAAACAAAAGATTATTCTATGTTTAGGAACATTTCTGTGTTAAGGAACAATGCATAAAAAAGACAAATAGCTTAAACTCATTTTAGTTGTAGAAGTACAATTTCCTTGAGAATTCTAAAACGGATCCTATTATATCAATTCCCTCTCTTCACCTTAGATAATTTATGTCATCAACTCTATAAATATTCCTGATCAAGCCTTTGTTAGCCAAACCACATTATCTTTCCACCTCCTCACAATCACTTTTCTCTCTTTTGAAAAGTTTTCACTAAATAGTAATAGCACTTAGTCTTATATACTACCACATAGTGCTTTACAACACTTTCTGGGTGGTTTACAATATCAGCATATTGTCCCCAACACTCTGGGTCCTCATTTTACCGATCTTGGAAGTTACTGCAGTGAATCTAAAGTGCCTGGGCCTTTAGATACAATTGGCTAGTGAAAGTTATTTTCTAGAACAATGGATGGCGGAACATCAAACTAAGCTAATGTTAAAGCCCTACTCAGCTTGGAAACTGTGATAGAATTTTAAATATCCTGCAGGACTGAGAGAGGGAGACTGGTTACTTAAGAAAACATCATTGGGCAGTCAAGATTGATCTAATTATCTGATCTAGTATTTGGGTACAATTTGACAAAGCAAAATGGCATTCAAATCAGTTTGGATAGATTTCTCCTTCTGCATTAAGGGGACTAAATTGTTTGCTGCAAATCTCAGCCAGGATTATAAAAGTGGGACAAGGTGAATGATTTATTAGTTGAGCAGCTAAAATTGTCAAAACTGAGTTGAATTTCAGGCTCAGGCTACTATTATCAACTGCTGTCAGAAAGTTCTAACTGCTTCCGTTTTACTACAAAGTTGCTTGTATTGTCATTTCGGTAATAATAAATTGATAATAAAACACGTCTGTAGATTTCCTATTTATGTATTTGTTTATTTGTTTAAAAGAAAAAAGAAAATAGGGCATTCTTAGCTTCAAGGCAATCTAAATCAAACCAGTACTTTGATCAAAGGATCTAGTTGCTAGTCTCTGGAGCCAAGTCAATCTGGATGGTCTTGGGGCATTCTGTCCTGATACAGCTATTCCTTATGTTAAATCATATCAAGTTGCAGAAGAGAAGATGAAAGGGGCAAGATTTTTTTTCGAAGTTTCAGAGTAATGATACCCCAACCTCTCTTTTCCCTTCCCCATTAATAGCCTAACTGGCCCTGTCCACTTTTAGAACTTGCTTGAGGTCTTTGCCTGCTTCTTTCAAAATACTGCATGTTAATTTCCCAATTGGCTCTCCACTACTTGCCTAATTTCACTCTACTTTCATTGGATTTTTCAGTCCAGAGAGCCTGAAATTATTCTTCTATTGGATTGACATTTCAATGGACAGGGTAATATAAAAATAGCACATTGTTGTTGTTTTTTTAAAAAAAATATCAACTGATAGCCTCTATTTTATATTTCAATTGCATACATAGTATTTCTCTCTTTGATACTATTACTATGTATCACAAAATCCACATTAAATTATGATATTTCTGGTTATGAAATGCAAAATTCAATATATTATTTTATTAACCACATCTATTCACAGCAGTTGAAAAATGCTGTATTGATGGTTTCACTTATTTTTGGCAAAAATATATTGCAATTAAAAAATTTCTTATCTAAGGTAAATTAAAAGTCTGTCCCAATGAACAGATGACGTGTGGAAAAAAGGCGAGATTGCCATATCTTGCTTCTAAAAGATCAAATAAGAATCACTTTAATGCTACTGAATTTGTTACATCTCTGTAACAAAAACATAGTCATCTGAATTATCAGGAGAAAATGGACAATCGTTCATTTTAAAAGAGATTTTGATGAAAGGTGAAAGAAACCTGATGAAAAAAAAATGCCTTATCACCATAAGTTTTTGTTCTAATCTCTCTTCAGCCCAATTTTTATTTTTTCAGCACCCTCATGATTACAGAGTATCAAAATAGAAGATAGTATAAATAAACAAATATAACTGACTTTGTATATGAAAATAATCTGACGCTCAACAAAGCTGTTTCTGATAAAACAAGAACATGAGTAAATGTGAGTTATGTTTACGGTAAATAAATAAACACCTCCCCACCAAATAGATTATTGATTTTAATTTTATATTTTCCTTTAGTATCACTCAACCTGTCGATTGGAGCAATTTTCAGATCCTCCAGAGATCAATTTTTTTGGGGGGAAAAATCAACTATGTTATTTTAGTAATGGATTCACTGGCCATAAAATCCAAGTCTTAATATTTCTATCAACCCTTTGATTCATACTGTAACTCTCATTTCTAATATTGTGAACAAAACAATGGTAGGTTGCACTTGTAATGCTTTTGAAAAATATGTGATAAACAGAGGAACTGCTATTTTATTCATGGTAAATCAAATCTCATTTTAAAGACAGTTGTGCTTTTATATGGCTGCATTGCTGTCCTAGGTGACATAGTGCAAAGGGGGTATAAGCTTTACTGTTCCTAAATATGCTATGGAGATAAATAGATAGTAGACAGACATAGAAGATGTACAAAAAAAAGAAACAAATATTTATTTTATTCTATATGTATTAACTTGCTTCTCTGATTATATAAAAAAGATTATATTTGGTGTTACCTGTGCCTCCCTTTTAAGCAGTCAGAGGCAGAGATAGTCACTGCATCTCACTGTATGATTAGCAGTTATCCAACTAGGTAAAATATTAGCTTGTGATTTAATTAGAATGTAAACTATAAACTGCACTGTATTATAAACTTACCTGCTGGCTGTTTTTACTGAACTGTTCTTCTTGTGTCCTCTTTCTGATCGGTTATCTCGTAATAGTTGAAGCTACACAAGACATTCAGAATTTATATAAAAAACAAAATTTAAATGTTTAGAAGTACAAATCTCTTAGCTTTATTATGCTTTTGTGCTTTCTTTAATGAGACTAATAATCTTATAGCTGGCAATATACTGAAATCTTAAGGTCTGTTTTTATTTTATTTCCATGTACCTATGACGATGCTGACATAGTACTAAGATCCATTCCCACAGCAATTCCCACCTACTCTGCTGTTGTGACCGATTAGTACAGCAAACTTTATGCTGGGGGGTAATATTTCCTTGAAAATTATAAAGAAAGCTTTTGTGGTCTGACTGAAATTAAAACCAACATATTTGAAGTTTACTAATCTTTTTCCTAACCCTTTTATTTCTCAAAAAGTTCCCACTTCCTGAGAGCAAAAGAGCGAAAAGAGAACAAAAAAGACACTACTGTAGGAATGGCTCCACTACGTGCTCATTTTTCACCCCACATTTTTTCCTTAGAATTAATTATGGCTTTACCATTAGCTATCAATTCCTGTATTCCTTTTCTTAACATCTTCAACAAAATTGGCTAACTTAAAATGACTTGAATCTGGCATTCTCGGCTTTCCTAAGCTAATAGCTAAATTAAGCAGGATTTGTTAAATTACCATGTTGTAACTACCAGACTATTTAGAATTGCTCTTAATTTCATCTTTCAAATAAGGCAAAATGTTTGCAGTGCAAAATAATTCTCATAGATTAATTTATGTTTCTAAAAAACTGCATCTAAATAATAAAGTTGTATATTATGAGTGAACAACATATAACTATGGGCACCATTATGTTTATTCACTATCAGAAAGACGAGTCTCAAAATATTACTTTAAGGAAGATGAATTCAAGAGCCAAATGGGAAAGGGAAATTATAGCAAATATTTAATTGTGATCTTTATTAGCTGTTTTCTTAAAAAAAAAAAAACCCAGAACTTCAGACTGTAAAAGCAACAATAAGAAAATGATGGCAGTTCCCAAAGAGCAATAAAAGAGATGCTCAAAAAGATGTAACATGAATTCAGGAGAATGAAATAATGTGAGCAGTAGATTTGGAAAGAGACTTTGATCATTTTGTAAAACATCCCTCCGAATGGTTGAGAGACCTACTAATTATTCCTATCACATTTTTCACAGCTGCTGCATCTTGATCAATATTTTCATATAGTTATCTATTCACCATGACTCAAAGTTTCCAGGTCAATAATTGTCAGTTCAGACTGTATGAGTCTGTATATATGAAAGCTTAGATTGTTAGCTTCAAGATGCATCACTTTATATTTACTTATACTGTATTGAAATTTACATTTTGTTGACCCTCACTTATTACAGAGATATATTTTGGGAGCTCTTTTCAGTCCATATCAATGGAAGAAGTGAGATATGGTTATGGTTAATGACAGCAGCAATGTGTAGAAGGATTCTAGTAATTAGTCTTAAAATATATTTGCAAAATTATTGCCCACACGTTTCAGTTTTTTTATTGTTTTGAGAAGCAGTCTATAATAATTTTAAATCTATGACTCAGGAAACAAAATCCTTTTAATATACTTATGAACGTTATTTTGTAAATTCTACTCTGTTGCAGTTGTGGAACACTGTGATCAGGAAAGATTCCCTTATCTTCCCTGAAACATCCCTGCCACTCCTTTTCCTATCTATTCCATGATAAGCGTTTCATTCATTATCAGTTTTAGAGACTTGAAGCGTCTTCATAGTGACTTGGTAATATATGTGTTGCTATGCATACTGAAGCAGCCTGAAATTAAATGGAATTTTTTACAGGCTTCTTTTTAGTACGACCATACAACTTTTGTGAACACAGGGAGAATTCTCAGTGTGGAAAAGTTGGGGTGGAGCTGATAGATCTGGAGATAATACACATGGCCCTGTTTCCCTACATTGCTCTTTGAATTATTTCTCAAGGGAACACATATCCACTTGCACACTTGATTGAAACATTCTTTGAGCAAAAAGAACTGCTGATAATTGCCAGCTCTACCCTGTCATACCCAGGAGGCTTTCATAATGAGCTATTTGCTGCTAAATATCTTCAGTCAATCATTTTCAATACAAAATCAGGAGATTTTGTTCCTTCTTTTACAAACCGGTGTCCCTATTTCTCCAGACAAGTGACAGTTAAATTCCTTCAAATATATAAAATAAAATGTTCTTGATCAAAGTGGTTCTTACCTGGCTATGTTCTTTTCTAGCCGCAGGGCTAAACCAATGGCTATGGGAAGGGGAAAAAATGGGGTTAGTAACAGCTAACTGAAGCATGAGCTGTCATATGACCAGCCTGTGCGTGCTCTTGGGTATTTTATTGTCCACCAGAAAAAAGTAGCCTTTGGCTATGATTTATTTAAATAGGATATTTTACAGAACACTCAAGGTCTATAATAGTTTTCATAGCACTGTATCTCATTCCTCAGGTTACTACTGTTTAAGCAAGTGAATATACATTAAACAGCAGCATGCCATTCTGCAATTCTTTACATAATACATCTGATAAACTTTTCGCTATGTTTGGGCTACAGAAATGTCAAATTTAATCAGCCTAAGTGGAAAAACTTTGCAGAAATGTTGATGGCTAATAGAAATATTTATATATATTATTAGCATTTTGGATTTAATACTTTTGCACACATATACACATCATTTAGAGAAAGTTTAATCAGAATTAAAGCTATAGATTTCAATGATATTCAATACAATTCATGTACATAGAACTGCACCTTCAGTGTTTCTACAATACATTCCATTGTGGTATCATGTCTATTTTTTGTATTATAGAATACTTTGAGAACTATACCACAGTTTAAAATGAAAAACATGTATTATTTTTCCCTTCCCAATTCAATCAGCTTGGTTACTTAAGATAATCAGAGCTTTAGCAAGAGGAGAGAAACCTAAGAAGCATTAAGCACATTTTGGTATCACTAGTTGCTTTTTAAAATTGCTACAATTTTGAGTGACTTAAATGATACCACGACACAGTATTATCATCACTCTCAAATTAACATACATATATAGTTTTATTTAATTGTCATACTTGGTAGAATTTTGCATTTAATTTCCAATATTTCTTGCAGGCGATTCTAATACTTGGAACACTTATTCCACAATCAATTTGCTAGTTTTAAATATGTCACAAAATGGTTTGTGAAATGTTTCAAAGCAGCTCGTGCACTTCTCTAAATCACTCTCCTTTTATCCCATTTCTTATTTCAAAAGCAAAAGCAAAGAAATAAGAAAGTACATCTGGACAGACCTAAGCCAGATAAGATACTGTGCTTCCTTTATCTTCAGGTAACATTCTGATTCTAGGATGGAAAAAAACAAAAATACATGCACTCAAGGAATTGAGCTGCTTTAAAATTAACACATACGTTTCTCCACAAAAATACTGGAAAGAGCAGCACTTTCATGTGGCCAGAATTCTGAGATTTGACTGGCCAATTAGGATGAAATTTAATATATAATTCAAACTGGGAGATATGCAAAGGAAGCTAAAAGAAATAATGAAAAAATAATATAGACACTTACTCATGGTGATGGAATTCTTGGGATAAAAGCACGGCTTTTTTGTTACTACATGAGCCTGTTGTAGTAATCTAAAAGAATCACAAGTATTATAAGTTGTGTATTGGAATTTAAAAGTATTTAAAGCATGAAAAATATTTAATAATACCACTTTACAATGTAATACCACTTTACAATGCCTTGGTAAGGCCACACTTGGAATACTGCATCCAGTTTTGGTCACCACGATGTAAAAAAGACGTTGAGACTCTAGAAAGAGTACAGAGAAGAGCAAAAAAGATGATTACGGACTGGAGGCTAAAACATATAAGGAACGGTTGCTGGAATTGGGTATGTCTAGTTTATTGAAGAGAAGGACGAGGGGGGACATGATAGCAGTGTTCCAACATCTCAGGGGCTGCTACAAAGAAGAGGGAGTCAAGCTATTTTCCAAAGCGCCTGAAGGTAGGACAAGAAGCAACAGATGGAAACTAACCAAAGAGAGAAGCAACCTAGAACTAAGGAGAAACTTCCTGACAGTTAGAACAATTAACCAGTGGAACAACCTGCCTCCAGAAGCGGTGAATGCTCCAACACTGGAAGTTTTTAAGAAGAAACTGGACCGTCATTTGTCTGAAATGGTATAGGGTTACCTGCCTGAGCAGGGGGTTGGACTTGATGACCTCCAAGGTCCCTTCCAACATCATCATCATCATCATCATTATTTTTACAGATGCTGATTGTGGAGATACCAGTTTGTATACCAAGCTTCTTTGAATATAAGATATCCTGAGCAGACCCAGTCCATAGTATATTCTAGCAAGGCTATTCCAGTCTGCTGTATTTCTATATTATTTTGAAGAAGTTATCAGAATTATCAATGAACATCCAAAGGATGGGCATAAAATACTGCATTGTATAGCAGTAATGGGGATAGAAAACCACAAGGGCTATTTATAATTAAGCTTTTTCTGCTACCCAAGACTCCAGAATGAAGAGAGCACATAGTGGCTCTTAGAGATGCATTACTCAATTCATAACCATCAATTAACCTTTCATAGCTAAGCTTATATTATTTTAAAAGTAAGGAGATCTAGGGATAAGTAAGTAAGTAATGTGAAATTACAATGCACCCCAATGACACTAAAAAAATAGTCAATGAAGTCCTTGTGCTGTTTCAATTTTTAATAACTTCACTTCTACACAGGATCTAAACAATCCATAAAATGCTACAGAGAAGGGATTTATTTAAGATTTAAATGCAGAATAAAATGTAGGATAACAAATATGATCAGTGGTGTAGGTCAAACACATGCTTGGAAAATTTCAAAATTATGACCAAAAGTTAGAAAACTTCCCATGGTAATGTATATGCACAGTTAGCAAACTTCCTATACCAAATTATACCCAAGACTTGGTATCAAAATGAGCCCATTTCTCTATGTGAAGGCAGGAAGGTTGTGCTTGGAGACAAAACAGACAGCTATGGGATGGAGTTCTTCATCCCTGATGTAGAATTGTAATTGCCTCATCGACAGTTTTCAGTAATGTCAGCCCATCTACCAGGGGCAGTAGACAATTGGATTCTGAACTGGTATAAACAAGAGCAACCTCTAATATTTTCAATCCCCAGAATTACAAATGGTACAATTTATCAATTTTTGATAATGAAACATTTATGTGGTCTAGTGTCAGGGTTTCTGGAACAGAACAGAAGCATCCAGACATAACATAACAGCATGTTTATTTTTTGTTAAAAATGGTGACAAATTGCTGATACTTCCTGAAATGTTAAATTTCACTAAGCAAGAAGGACATACAAATATATTTCTGTGCATTGTAATTTCACATTACTTACTTACTTACTTACCCCTAGATCTCCTTACTTTTTAAAATAATATAAACTAACCTATGAAAGGTTAATTGGTGGTTATGAAATATCAATGATACAAAAATCATAGTAACTGATATGATTGACTGTTTATAACATTAACAGTTTAACAGTTATTTTAACATTGCAGGTAAACATTTGGCGTAGCTCTAGAGTTACATCCTGCATTAAACTCAAAATGAGGTTTTCATGCTATTCCAGTGGGTATCCCTGGAATATAGTAATCCATTTTCTACACTGTGGCTATAAGAAAAGCCGACTGTGCCTATGTCATGCTTTGTTAGAGGTTCATGATCACATTATCTCATGGTGGACCTGACACTTTTATTCAGTTTACAGTATGTTCTGTGTACAGGCAACTTATTTCCTTTGCCAGGGCTGCTGACAACCTTTTCCACACTATATTAATCTTGTTTACTGACTTTATCTTGGTACAAATATCAGAAAACTGAACTTTTTATCTCATGGAGAAAATAAACAATGTGTTGACAGAAGCAGAAGCTATTTTCTGAACTAAAAATGGTTGTTTACCTCTAGCCATACTTATAGAAAAATGTTTCTAAGCCCCAGCTTGCCAAACTACATAATCCATAATTTAATAAATGTGGAAATTCCATGAAAAGTCATTTAGATATATTGGAAAGGATAAGGAAAATATGAACACCAAACAAAACACAATTTACAAACCAACACAATGTACACAAAACAAAAGCATGTTTTATGCAGTTAGCAGTTGAATGTTATTCAGATTATTTTCCACATATCAAAAAATATTTTAGGGTGGGGTGGGAGAAGCTTTTCCTTTGCTTGCGTTTATTCCTAACAGTTTTGTTCCACTTGGGAAGTGAATAAAAATTCAGTGCAGTCTTTCTCCTCTTGAACATGTAAGAACTTATTCTTGATGCTATCAGCAGTTGTAAAAACTGAGCGATTGTGGTGGATTTACGGATTTGTAGGTGGTGAAGACATATATGATATTATTTGGAAGTAAACTGGGGTTTCAAATGTTTCAGCTCCAAGTCAGAGCATTCTGGCAAATTTAAATACAGGTAGTTCTCAACTTTTATGACCACATTTGAGCCCCAAATTTCCATTGCTAAGCAAGACAATTATTGGGTTTTGTCCCATTTTATGACCTTTCTTGCCACAGTGGTTAAGTGACTCACTGCAGTTGTTAAGTTAGTAACATGGTTGTTAAGTGAATCTCGCTTCTCCATTAACTTTGCTTGTCAGAAGACCTCAAAAGGTGATCACCCTGGAACAGTAGATGCCAGTTACCAAGTGTCTGAATTCTGATCCTGTGACCATGGGGATGGTGCAACAATTGTAAATATGAAAAATGGTCATAAGTCACTTTTTTCAATGCCACTGTAATTTCGAATGGTCCCTAAATGAATGGTTGTAAGTCGAAGACTATCTGTATGTGGGCAAAATTACATGTTGATTTCAAAGTATACAGACATTATTCAGAAATTTTTTAACGAGTCACTCTTTAAAATATACCTTTGGGAGAGTTGAACATGCAGAAAAAATATGCTATGACATAAGTTTTGGCTAAGACGCACAAATTCTAATCATTTAAAATTTAAAATTCAGAATAATGTTACACATAACATGCAAATGGACAAATGTATTTACACAATCCTAGAAAGCTGCCATACAGAAAGAATATGGAAGCTGTGATTAAACAATTCTGTTCAGTTTATTCAGTTAGAGTAAAAATCTTGATGTGAAGAACAACAAAAAAGTTAGAAAGATGTTGGCAGGCTCAGACGAGGTAATTGTACTATGTTTAGAGTGAGTATATAGAGACATAAAGAAGGAAAAATATATTGCCAAATCAGTGTCCAGCTTTATGTAGCACGCAGTGAGTGGCCTCTACTGGCTGACCAAGGGCTACATAAGTCACCTTGTCATCTATTATTATGATAGCACTTTCAGAGTAGCTGAAGAGAAATACGGTACCTTTGTATGAGGCTTGTTTCATTTATCACCTACAAAGTTTATTCATTTCAAGATGCTATCGATGTTCTGTATGTAATCTCTTTCTATAATACTAAGGCATGAACAAGATCATTTATATAGAAGTATAAAGAGGAAATGCAAAGTGCATTTTATATTTTTTTTTTCAAAGAAGAGACTTGTAAATTCAAATTAGTACTGATGATAAAGCAGGGAGATGGCAGCCAATTACTCAACTTTTGTTTTTGTTTTGGTGTCGCTATTATACTTACAAACAAAGCAAGCTCAGGAAACAACTTGAATCTAATCTTCTATATATCTAGTCTTACCATTTCTTACTTTTCATAATTGCAATAAGCAATCAAGAAGTGATGAGCTTTTAGGCTGAATTCCTGTTTGATCGACACTGGTGTATTATAATAAAAAAATTTGAACTAAAATGAAGGACAAAATTCCTATTTATTTTAAATGTTGTAGTGTGTTACTGTGTACTTTTTGCACTTAGAGGAAAGTCCTATGTACAAAAACAAAGCAAAAGAAAACATCCAATCCAATCCAAGTCCTGGGATCTATACAGGACAATACAACTTGAACAAATCTGCCTATTCATGTTTTATTTCAGGACAGAATATAGTGAATGTCTCAGTCTTATTGGATTAATACAGTAAGTTATAAATCAGAAACACCTGGAAGCAGGTACAATTGATGCCAATATAAAATAACTCCAAGCCACCATTAGATGACCAATGCCAAGAAATTATGCTTGTCAAATAAGGATAATACTCAGTTGTATTTGATGAAACAGATTATAATCCACAGAATCTTAAAACATAATACATGTCAGTTTTTAAGGTGTCGCAAGATATTTGTTAATATTTATTGAAAGATCTAATCAATGATATGATAAGATGATACACTACGTTCAATGTTTTTAAATCTTTTTTTTCCTTTGTATTTAATAAAATGTATTAAATAAAAAATAAAAAATAAGGTATGATAGCAAAGGAAGGCTTATTTAGGGGTAACTCTCCTGATTACATATAGCAAATGGTTACATCAATGTACCCCTGTGAAAAATCTTGTCAATTTTGCTCTAAAACACAAAGATTCCTGTATGGAAGATATACCTTCAATGTAATATTGTATCATATAATTGTATCATATAAACTATTCTACTTCTAAATATATATTCTTTGAAATAATGTATTTGCTTTTAATGGAAATTAGTTTTAAGTAAGT